AGCAGGAACCTCCTGATGCCTGCCGACAGCGTCTGCTCTTAGCAGTCAGGATTTAATGTTATTCATTGTTAAATAAAACCTGCAGGAGTTACAACTGCCCAGCTGTTCTGGTCAACCATAAGCTTTATTGTGTCCTAATAAGCTGTTGCAGCAAGGATGAGGAGAAACTAGCTCAGAGATGAAGAGGAATGGTTCAACAACAGTTTTATTGTTTTCTGTAAATACATTTCTATAAATCTATGTGCAGTTTTTCTGTATATATATATATATATATATATATATATATATATATATATATATATATATATATATATATATATATATATATATATTATATATCATATATCATGGCCTAGAATATACTGTATATCATCACAATAGTACACCATCCAGAGCAGAACCTCAGAGCGGAACCAGAATCTCTCTGGTTTCAAAAACAGACCTTCTAGCTGTAACATTACCAAGTCAGATAAAATTAGCCCAAAAACAGAGAGTGTCGATTCTGTTTGGTGTGAACTGATTGGCTGCTTTTAACTGGGTTTCTGCAGGCAGAACCCACCTCTGCTGGAAGGATCAACCTTTTCCCTCTGACTTCTGCTTTTATTGTCATAATGTTTTTCCTGTCTACCTTTTTAAGGTTCTGGAGGTCCAAACGGCTCAGAACTCATCGTTGAAAAGTTTGATTCACCATGCTTGTCAAAAAGCACCCTTTAGAGTCAGAGGACATGACTTTAATTATTAGATAAAGTGACGTCAGAGGTATTTAAAAGAGTTCTGGTCTCCCAGCCCTCTGAATGGACCGACCCGGCTGAAGGATTTCTGGATCTTTGTGGCTGATCCAGCTGAGCTCCTCCTCCAATCAGCAGCTGCAGCATCCCATTAAACTCTGTTACGACTCCTTTCTCTGAAGTATCAGTTTTGGTTTCCTCTTTTTTGCCTCATCGTCAGTGAATATGTTTGTGGTTCGTTGTGCCATCCCATAATGGTCAGCATATTAATATAACAGCCAGGATTTTTTGTCTGAATATGTTCCTAAAGTTAGACTCAATATATTTTCCGATCCACTGGAGTTCTTCAGATTCCAGGAGGCAGGGGCGGATTTACCATTGGGCAAAACTAGGCAGTTGCCTATGGCCCCAAATTCCTGGGGGCCCATAAAACTCCTTTTACATGTATGGATAATACAGCTATTACATATTTGTGCAAATTAATTATGTTTTTGATAAAAATAATTTCCTTAAAATGTTATCTGAACGCTTATAATATTAAGGGTGTCTTGGGGGTCCCCCTACAGTCTACGTTCAGACCGCACGAAGCAGAAGCAGCAAAAATGTGCATTCTGCTTCGTTGTTGATGCTTGTACAAGTTTAGTTCTGACGCGCCGCTGAAGCATCTTTGTGTCATTAAATGTGTCTCGTCTCGGGGAGGGCCCTTCAGTGTCCACCACATTGGATCAGTCCATTTGCTGTGTGTGCAGAAAGGTCCAAACAGACAGCAGCAAATCCATAAAAAAACAAATGGGAAGAGCAGTGTTGCCAACTTAGCTTTTGTCACTATATTTAGCGACTTTTCAGACCCTTCTTGCGCTTTTATTACAAAAAAGTGCTTAACTCCAAATCTAGTGACTTTTTTCTGTTACTAGAGACTTTGGAGACAAAATATAAAAGCACCGAACTCTGCTCTCCAGAGCAATTAGATTTGTAACCCTGCGTCCTGCTCTCCTCTTGTCTGCTGTCATGATTCATGCAGCTATAATTTAAAAAGGTCAAACAAATTAGTATGTCTATTCTATTAAAATTATTGTATCTGTATGATGGGTCTGCTTTATGTGTTGTCTTCTCAATTTAAAGGGCCCCCTGCCTGTTTTTGCCTAGGACCCCAAATTTCTTAAATCCACCCCTGCCTGGAGGGTTCAGGTTATCACAGAAATTGTTCTTAACTTTAAAGCAGATTAAAGCAGAGAAGCGATCCACCCTTGGTTCTCTTTAAAAAGGCTTAGGGAGATAATATTACAGACTGGAATCAGTTCCTGGCTTTAGCTGTGAATAAATGAACCAGTTCCACGGAACCAGAAATCCTTCAGTTCTTCCTTACTGGAGGATCCTCAAAGTTCCTGGAACACATCAGACTAATAAAGTTGTTTTAATTTTTTTGTTTGATACTAAGGTTAACTCTTAACTATTGCAACTGTTCATATGTTTAAACCATAATCTGCTTTTTTTCTGAGATATTTTATCAGCTTTACAAATTGTTTCTTCTTCTTGTCTGTTCCTGAGTTTAATATTATTTCTACTGTTTGATATTTTTGGCATCTCTTCTTATTAATATTCATGTTTCTCTCATCCAGTCCTACTAGTTCGACAGCTCTGTGTTTGTTAAAGTCTCAGTTGTTTCTTCATCAAACAGCATGAAGCCAATTGGCCAAAAGAATGATGCAAGCCTCTCTGCCACTATCATCATTAAACTGGAGCAATATTTGTAAAATGGAAAGGAAATGGAAATCTATCAATTTTAGAAATAAAGACAAAATGCGGAAAACTATTGAGGCAACAGATTTGAATATCAGAACTGTCACAGTAGGCTGATGCTGAACAGCAACTGTAATTCAACTATAAAAGACGTTAATTTTAATTTCCTTTCTTTTTTTAATATTTATGATGTTTATATGAACACAACTTGGAGCTGAAGTCGAATCCTCTGTTTATGTGGAGGGAATTAGCGAATAACGATGGTTCTGATTCGCATCATCAGGCCTCATGATCACAGCTGGAGCCACACATGCACGGGAATAATATGCTAACTCTGTGCAGAAAGAGATGCTGGGCCAGGCTATAAACTGCACCACCGGCAGCTCCAATTCAGAGATGATGGGTCTAAATGAGAAGCATTAGTTTGGGTTCAAAATTAGGACCAACATATCAGGTTAAACATCCTTGAATCATTGGAAGCAGGCCAAAATCTGCCTGCAGACTGATGAGGTCATGACAGAGATGATTATTAACAGAAACAGCTGCTAATTGGGCTGCTTTGTTCCTTCCTGTAGTTGTAAACCAGAAGCTGCTCCACTAGAGTCCATTAGCATAGAATCAGACTTTTGGCCATTGTCTCATTATGATGACATCCTGGTCGACATGCTAAATAATTTAATTCAAGAAAAACCAAGAGTTACTGTAAAGTTTAGATGTAGTCACCTTGTGTGAGGGTAGTATATATATACAGTAGAAGTTATGTTGGTAATATAGTCAAAGAAGTAATGAACATTTGCTTAACGTTTAGCAGTTATTTTGGGCATTGCATAAAACCAACTCTATTAATAAATGTTTGCAGAGGTGTGATCTCTAAAAAAATCCCACAGATTTTATTGGTTTTGTTTAAGGTCCATAAACCTTGGTAATGATTGTAGCAACTAAAGCTCAACACTGACCAGGGTTTCCATTCAGATCATCATATTAACACTAAGAGATTTAGGAGACAGAGTAGTGAACACAAAATGCAGCTTTAGTTGATAAGTAGAGTGGAAAGCAAACTAGGAAAACAAACAACAGAACTGTAGAATCAAGAGAACACGTCACTAGAACCTAATCTGCCAATGTTAATCTATCCATCTAACATTTATACCTGCTTATCATCGCAGGGTTGTGGGGTGGAAACCTGATCCAATGCACCAAAAGATGGGAAAATGCAACATCCCATTTGTGGGATTATTGTGCAGCCTCATGCTGCTACAGTAGGACTAATGTCCGCAATTAGAATGGTTTTAGAAGGCAGGTTAGATCTTGCCAAGCGTTAAAGCATAACAGGGGGTTTAATGTATGCCTTTACAGGGTTTTTGGGTGATTTTTGGTGTTGTCAATTAACAGGTTAAGAACCAATGAGAAATCCCAACAAGATCATCTCTGAACCTTTGGTTCTCCAGTAAACCGCAGTGTCATCGACATATGGAAGTGACATGAGACAGCAGTGATATTTCCAAGGAGTACCCTGCCTAAAAACGTCAAAATCAGGACTGCATTGGGTGATCTTGATCCTCCAGGAGATCCCAAATGGTCTTAGAACTACACCTACAGCTCATTAGGTCTCACTTAATAAGTAAATATTGGAAACACGTGGGATTAAAGGGAGATTCCATTGAAAAAACTACATTCTAAAAAAAGACAAAGGCCACTAAGAAGCATCTGGATGACCATCCAGCACTGATGCCTGGTCTGATCACTCATTTCACACACCTGCTTAGCTCCACCCAGTTCTCATTAAACACTCATCTGGTCCACCTTCATTAGTCTGTATAAAACTATCCCTCAGATCAGTCATCTCTGCCAGATTATTTTAAACCGTTGATGAGACTTATTCTAGTGTTCCTGTGTTCCGGTCACGTAATCCGACCTGTTCTGCCTCTCGATCTTTGTATCTGCCTGTTTCCATCTGATCTGTTTGCCGGTCCAATCAAATGACTACTGCATGATCTCTGCCTGCTTGTATAACAACCGAAACCATTTCCCGACCATTGAGTCTGCCTGCCCTCGTCCAGCCTCTCAGCCGCACTGTGTGCTCTGACAACCACTAATTTTGGCTTTGGCTTCGCCCTCTGTATCATCCTGACTACATTCATCTGCTCAGTTCCGATCTCCTGCCTATCCTCCGACCACCGATAAATCAGTGCCTGGGACTCTGTGCTTAAACCGCTGCATCGTCTTGCCAGGTTAGTGACTCACATGTTTGTGATCATTCACTTCCAGAAAGACGTGGTCACTAACCTGCTGTCTCCACCTGCAGATGTTCCTGCCTTGGACCCTGGTGCCGCTTACTTTGATTCTGTTATCAATGAACGTTCTGAGAAATCTCTTTGACTGACTTGAATACTGGATCCTTCAGTTCTGAGCCTGATATCCAAGTCTTTAGGGGAAATATTCTGTGGACTGACGGAGCACAAGTTAAATTTATTTGGAGGTTATGTGCCATCCGACTCCTGGGACAGAACTTAGAGAAACTGGTCGATGTTGTGTAATGACCATAAATCGGTTCCTGGTTCAGAACAATCATGTTTCTGAATGAAAACAGCTCTGTGCAGTGGGGTAAAGATTGGTTTGCAAAGTAAGGTCTTTACTAGCAGTGCTAATGTCTGATGGCGGGTGGTGCTTCCAATTGTCGCATTCTTACGTTCGGGAGAGATATGCTTTGTCCCCGTCGGGTCAGAAGGCTTATTTCTCAACAGTGGAAATTATCATAGCTTTGGTGTTTCTACAGGATAGATGTCTGATATACAAAATTTATATGAAGATCTAAAAAATTTAATTGCCACAAAAAAGGACATTTTAAAGGGACCAAATAGTTTCCTACAATATGGAAGGTTTACTAAAACACAATAGATGTTATCAATTTCAGCTCATTGGTATCAGTAAAAGTGTCTTAATATTAGTGATTATAGGGTCCGACAGCCTGCAACGATGATTATTTGTCTGTTCACTGAAGCTTTATCCTTCCTGATGTTCTCAGTCTGTGTTTATTACAGTTGGAGCTAAATAACGCTCCTCAGATTTCTGTCTTACATTTATAAAACAGCATGAAGTGAAACATAACCACCCTGAGGGGGTCTGAAAACTCTTTCAACAGAGTCAACAAGAGCTTCTCATTTGCAGACGTTTGTTGATTTAGAGTTGTCAAATATTTTCTAATTGACTAAAATCTATATCAAATCAATGATGTATGAATGTCTTCCAGCACCAAATTAGGAGCTTAAATCTTTTTCTGCTTTTTTCTTTTTCTGTGTCCTCCTTTAGTTATATTTGCCTTGTTTGTCAAATATCAAAGTAAAAAATAAAACAAGTGGGTGAGCATGGTGTGAATCATTTGCTGCAGACTGTAAGTTCTTTTCAGACATATAGTTTCCCTCGAACTGCGCTACTGGTGAACAGACAATACAGAGTTACATCATTTCCTGTTATAAAACTAAAGTAATAATATTTAAGTTAATCTAATATTGTTTTGTTTATTTAGCTTGTGCAAATCTATAACCCTGATATTAAAAAAAGACATTTATTGGAGGGCGTCCATTGAGAGCTCTCAATGATGACTGTCTTTTCACTAGAAGCCAGCCTCGGCCACCAGGAAGTCAATGTGATCCTTGTCTTTGGTCTTGAAGGCCTCAGCGATGATACGAGCGGCATCTTTGTGCTCCCGTCCTCTGAGGGAAACTCCGTTGACTTCCAGGATGACCTGCCCCACTTTCAGCTGTCCGCAGTTATGAGCTGAGCCTCCTTTCTGTCAGTGTGGACACAGAGAAAGAACACAGAGGATCTTTAGTGAGAGACGCAGGGAGAGGAAAGCCACCGCTGCTAGGTACAGACGGGGCTTGATGTAGATGATACCATAGAGCAGGGGTCAGCAACCCATGGCTACACAGCCTCTTTAATGCCCCCTTGCGGCTCCCTGGAGCTTTTCAAAAATGTATTTATGTATGGATTTCTTTGTTGGTCTGTTATTATATGGTATGCAGGTCAAGCAAACATATAAAAATACTTTGATGCTTTAAAACTGTTGGGATCTGGAGGTCTGTCCACCTTCCTCCAGCAGAGGGCGCCTCTGGGTCTCCTGGAGCTGAGCTGACGACCACACCTGCGACCCATCAGTCATCAGGAGACCAGCATATAAGCAGCGGCGGGACTACATTCCAGCGCCAGAGTGTTAAGCCAGTTATGGTTAGCGAAGCCTGAGCCAACCAGCCTGTCTGATTCTCTGACTCCCCTGAACCTTGAACTTGAACCTGATCAGTTTTTGTCTTTTCTGCCTCCTAGGAAGAAACCTGACTGAACCCTGGAACTCTGGAGGAGTTTCATCTGCTGAAATCTGCCTGCCGGCTCTCTGGAGCTCACCTGAAGAAACTAACTGTGTAAACCTGCCTGCCCGCCCTCAAGAAGAGGATCGGAAGAAGACTCTGGATCTGAACATTAATAAGTCTGAAGTCGAGCCCTGCCGTTGCTTAGCCCTCTGCCAACTTCAAGCCTCTGGACCAAACCCGGTTCCCCTCCTCAGCTGCTAAACCTGAGAAACGTCACAGGTACAAACCTGCACATTTCCTCTGGCTAAGATCTTCAGCATCCTGGCTAACCAAACTGTCCCTCTCTACAGAGAACCCTGTGTGACCAGTCCCGGACCTGCTTCTCAGTATTATTCATATAACTTTGTGTTTATCTCAATAAACAGTCAAACTTTTCGTCTGCCTCCGTTGTGTTCTGCATGTGGGTTAGAAACCTGAATCCCATCATGACAAAAACTTTGTATAATAAATAAACTTAAACAATACAGTAGTAGCCTTTCAAAATTTCCCCACTTTCCTTGATGGGTCCTTGGCTGGTCTCCTACAATTCCTTTTTAAACATCTAAAATATTCTTTCTTTCATGATTTGTGGACATTAGGATCTAAAGAGTAGCGTTATCTCCTTGTCAGAGCCTGCAATTCAGTGAAAGGGTGCAGTTAGAGTAAAAAAATATGCATGCCTATGAGAAGGCCAGTTACTGGAAGTTGGATGGGATTTTGTTTCCATTCGGCTGACTTTTGACTGCGAAGGGCCATTTTGAATGGTTGCTACTGTAAGTGTAAAAATTTCTGTCAACAAAGATTTGCATCATTGCCTGCACCGCACATTTCAGCGCGGCACGGTACCAGGCATTTGGCTGTTGTAAAAAAAGCACCGGGTGTGTCTTGTGCCACAGATCCGAAAGGGAGAAAAAGGAAGATAGCTGATGAGAACAGGGGATTCAAAGAAGAATGAGAAGATGTCAAATAATAAAAATAGTCATTTGGAAAGACATTTCCAGGAAAGGCATGCTAAATATGCAGCCGACCACCAAGTTGGGAGTAAGAGAAAACATTACTGCTGCTAGTTTGGTTGCAAGCATAGAAAACCATCCACAAATCAAACAGGTAGCGCTCTGATGCAGGGATGGGAACTTTCTTCCATTTTTTCCGCCAAAATTCTCAAAATAAAAATGAATAAAAATCCTATTTCTTTGTTGTGTTTCTATAATTTCATCAATGCAACAAAAACAAATACATTAATATTGTAATGGAGTTTAAACTTAAAGCACCAAATATCGTACAGCAGAATAGTCACATGATGTGACATTTGCTCCAGGATGAACATTTAACCATGAATGCTTATTATATATCTTTTATAGTGGGCTAATACAATTAGAGCCAGTGTTACCATACAAGTCTTACATAAGACTTTAACATTTTTGCAGCTCCAGACAGATTTGTTTATTGTTTTTTTTTTGGGCCAATAATGCTCTTTGAACAGTTTGGGTTGCCGACCCCTGCCATAGAGGCAAATATTTATACCATCATAGTAAAGTACTTGTGTTTGTTCAATTTCTGAGTTTGCTAGTCTCATTTGCGGGCAATTATGCAGTGAATGCATGTATTTGCAGGATGTGTTTTCATGTGTAAACCTTTGTCCCACAATGGGGAAGTTTACTCTCTGCATTCAACCTTTCTTAGGGAGAAGTGGGTTGCCACTGTTAGCAGTCTGGGGTTAAGGGTCTTGCTCAGGGACCCAGAGTGGTAGTCTGCGGGAGTATGTGTGGGACCTGAACTCAGAACCTGTGGAATTAGGTTTTCTAGTTCTAGAAACATCTTTTCAGGAAAGGTTTTCCTTGTTTTTTTATCTTTATTATTTAACTTTTACAGAACTTTAAAATGAAAGCTTGAGTATCAACATTAAATCCCCTTCATCTCCCACTGCACGATCACCTCCTAATGATAAACCAGGTTATCCCTGAGAAACTCTTAGCTTAAAATTAGCAAGTTATGAAAAATACTTTAATAAGAATCAACCTTAATCCCATAACCATATAACCTGCTGTCCAGTTCCAGTGGTATTGTATCCTTTCTACATCATTTACGGTTATCAGCCAGCAGGAGAGCTATGTCCCCTCAAGATTTAAGCACATGCCTATTCCCGAGGTGAAGCGATTCACACCTCTGTTGAATCTCTGGCTTTCTCCGATTCACTGATCAGGACCTCAAATCCAGATTCTGAGAAGGTAACTTGCTTTCTCAGCAGCCACTCACCTTCTCTCCTCCTCCACAGGGATTCCAGTTTGTTCCTGCAGTATATTGCAGTTCTGCACTTGCTCCTTGTTTAGAAGAAATCTTTGTAATAATCTAATAATATCAATAATTTGATTTTTTTCTGTTCATTCAAAGACAGTGTTAAAAGTTTCCCAGAAAGAAGAAATAATTTCTTATAATTTTTTGGTGTGAAGTTCTCTCCTATAGGGGGAGTCATTCGACTGTCTCTGAAGGAACATCAGAAGCCAAACCAAATGTTTGAAGTCCAGAATGATTTAATGGAGAAAAAATTCAGCTTGTGGGCGTTTAAAGCTGAGTCCCTGCTGCATCACAGAGAGCAGCAAAAGAAAACCTCTGGCTGTGTTTCTACGTGTGCATCTAAATTTAACCCTAAGCTAGAACAGAACCTTATCTGCATAACACTAATGTACTGAATATACATTAGCATATTCAGTACATTCAGTCAGGCTGTATATATATATATATATATATATATATATATATATATATATATATATATATATATATATATATATATATATATATATATATATATATATATATATATATATATATATTTTCCACTGATCATTCTAAGCTATATTTGTCAATAATAGGTTAAATAAACTACAGACATGTCACTAGGACACAGAAACTTGACTGGGTTTCTTATTTTCAATTCATTTTAAATTCAGATAAGACAGAGGTTATTGTCTTTGGCCCTAAATAACCAAGCTCCATCTTCTATCAGGGATCTGATTGGTCCTTATGTTCCTAAAAGAGCACTCCGCTCTCAATCTGAACGTTTATTAGTGGTTCCTAGAATTTCTAAAAGTAGAATCGGAGGCAGATCTTTTAGTCATCAGGCTCCTCTTCTGTGGAAATTTTAAGGGTAGGCTTAAAACTTTCGTTTTTGGTTAAGTTTATAATTTGAGTGGCTCAAAGCTATCTCAATAGATGTGCTGCCATAGGTGTAGGCTGCAGGAGGACATAGGGAACACTTCATCTTTCTGTTTCTTTCTACTTTTATTCTCCAATTCTGCATTTTTTGTGAGTCAGCTTCCAACTCTTCTCTCTGTTTTTCTCATGATGGTCTCTATACCTGGCCTGGTGCCTGTGTAACTTGTTCTCAAATGACACATTTTAATGTTGCAAAACTGCTTGGTGAAGAAATAAAGGAAAAAATCCTGTTAAACAGTTTATTAAAGCAGAGAGCAGAAAGTATTTCCTGTTGTTCAAAATCCTTTTAACCTTGTTTGTCTTTGTTTTTCATTAACAAACAAAATTAAAACTGTAACTCAAAACCAGAACCAATTATTTTACTGTCTTACCTGGATGGTCACAATACGAGGCAGAGGTTGACGTGTATTTGCTCCTCCCTCTATAGCAATGCCCAAGGTGTTGGCATTTTTCACCACTCGCACCAGCAGAGTGTTAAGTGCTGAAATGGGGGAGCTTGTCTGCTGTGACACAAGGTGAAGAGAGGTCAGCAGTGTTTTTTAAGGCCATCTATCATGATCTTTGTTTATGTAACATTTCAAAACTGAACGCAATCTTGAGTAAAAATGAGTGGATTGGAGGTTATTCATTCTACATTGATTATTCAGGTTGGTTTGGCCTGCTCCCAAACAGAGGTACTTTAGTATTCAGAGGTAATTCATCATTGCAGCTGTATAATTCATCGCTGCTTGAGTGCTTTATTTTCTGAAGGGTTACAATTTATAAATGAGTTTGATGCTGAGTAACAGATGGGATGGTGATGGAGAAGACACTAAAACTAGATTTCAACATCAAAAAATGGGGACATGACAACAGAAACCTCCATAGGATCCGGAACGCAGCCATACTTGTCTTGTGGAAGGTGTGTGGGCCCCTTGCTGTTCCAGATTTCCCTGCTTATTCTTGCTTGGTCTCGGGCTGCCATCCTTACTGAGGCCTCCAGCCTCCGCTATGTCCACACCACTGTCCTCACTCAGAGTCTGACCACTGTCGGACAGCTGAGACAGGGTTGCACCTGGAAGAGGCAGAAGTAAAGTGCATCTTAGGATGTTGAGTCATCATCAGGTCTAAACATCTGCAGATGAGCTCCAAAGTCAAAAGAAAGTTTTGTGTTCATAGGTGCAGTTAGCATGCTGAAGCCGTCAGTTCCTCCATCCACTCACATGAATAACAGGAAACTACATTTCCAATTGATAAATTAAATCAAACCCTATAAGGAGTTTTACTGTGGCTTTACAGAGATTGTTGTTTAAGGACTGGCTAGAGCCTTCATGTCATGCACCACAATTTTTTCCTATTTTATGCTTTTTCGTATTTCTGTGCTTTACAAATTTAGATTTAATTGGTATAGTTTGGCAAATAAACCATTGCTTTCTACACTTTTTCGGGTCTCTGCTATTTGAATGCAGCCAATTAAAACCTTACAAGCTCCTAAATAGGGCCCAGTAATCAGCTCCTGATAAAGCAGATTGGATTACAGATTACACGGATCTGGAGAAGTGGATCATTTCTCCCTGCATCGCAATTTCATGGACAAGGCTGGGCTTGGCGGTTGCCACTAGATACTAAACCCATGTGTGCTATCTTCCAACTCTTTGGTTGCAATCAGCTCTATTCCACTCATCTGTGAGCCCCTAAGATTGGCCTGAACATTGTTCAGATCAGTGAAAGCTTCTGTCACTAGATATACAGCATTTTTTTCTGTCTGTGTCTGATCTCATTGTTAAGACCTCACTCTGTACGAGACCCTTAATATTTCCCCTATCTTTGGATAGTGTTCTGATCTCTGCCTTGCTCTGGTTGCCTTTTGTATCTCTGCTTCTTTATTTATCTCTGCTTGTCTCCTTGAACCCCAGTCGGCCTCAGTAGACGGCCCCTCATATTGAGCCTGGTTCTGCTGGAGGTTTCTTCCTGTTAAAAGGGACTTTTTCCTCTCCACTGTCGCTACAAGCATGCTTAGTGTGAGGGATTGCATTCAATGAAATCAACAGGTTTTCCTTAGATAGAAAACTTTAAATCAATTTGAATGGATGATCTGGTGAACTGTGAAGTGCCTTAAGATGACATGTGTTTTGAATTGACGTTATCTATCTAAAATGAATTTAATTTAATTTAATTGAATTTTAATTTGACCCATTACGAAAAAAACATTGTTTTATGAGCAGACTAACACCTCAGTAGTTCATCGAACATACAGCTCAACTCAGACACCAAGTGCAACTTCACGGAATATGAAAAAAGTTAGAAGAAAGAAACCTTGTTAAAACCAGGGGCTACGAGAACTGGCGGTAGAGGACTGCAGTTCTGTGCAGTGTTCTTTTGGCCACAGATGGTAGAATCTTGAAAGAACTCAGATTTTCTGAATCTGTTCTAGGTTTTGTCCCTGTCTTCTTGTCCCTTTTCTTGTTGTTTTCCTCTCTATGTTTTGTACTCAGCTGACTTTTCATGCTGTCTCTAAAGGAATTCAAATTTTTTTTCCAAGCACTAAGCTCACGTAGCTGATTGCTCCTTCCTTTGTTTCCAAAAAGGCGACGGCAAAAGTAAATAACCCAGTCCTTCTTTTCACTGTAGACAAGCCATGATCTGCTTATCTGTTCTCCATTTTTCATTTGGATGAAATAATAGCTGCATGAATCATGACAGCAGACAAGATATAGGAGAGCAGGAGGCGGGGTTACCAATCTACTTGCTCTGGAGAGCAGAGTTCGTTGCTTTTAGATGTTGTCGCCAAAGTCTCCAGTAGCAGAAAAAATGTCGCTAGATTTGGCACTTTTAAAAATAAAAGTGCTAGAGACGTCTGAAAAGTCACTAAATATAGTGACAACAGCACTAAGTTGGCAACACTGCTCTTCATATCGTTTGTTTTCAAATGGTTTGCTGAAACACACTTAATATTCTAAGCATTCTGATGACATTTTAGCAAAAGGATTTTTTTATCAAAAACATAAATATTGTGCACAGATAAGGAATAGTTGTATTAACCATACATGCAAACAGTGTTTTATGGGGCCCCCAGGAACTTGGGGCCCTAGGGCAACTGCCTAGTATTGCCTAATGCTAAATACCTCCCCTGAGTATATTACAGGACAAGATGTAACAGACAGGTATACATTTTTGTGTACATTTTCTGAGTATTATTAGCTCCAAAGTCACTGAGGAGATCTTTTAATGAAGCAATTTGTATCAAGACTAATGAACTCTTTGACTCTTTGGGAATAGTTTGTGGGAAGCCCCAGTTCACTTCCAACATGGACCAGCAACATCATGCAAAGCAAAATCCATTCATATCAGAAAGAATGAATCTGATGTTGAAGAACCGGACTTTAATTCGAAATATCACCTTGGGATTAATAATAACAGAGAATGAAAGACATCTTCTGGTCTTCTATCTGTATTGATGTCTCAAATGTTTCCTGGAAGAATGCTTAAATATTCCTATAAATTAACAGCAGAGCTTGTAGACTGTCTTCTCAGAAAAGTCAAAGATGATGTAGTAATAAAAGGGGGAGCAAACAGTCCAGACTCCGACCAGGCAATGCTGGGCTTCAGCCCCAAAGACCCCCAAGGCCATACAGAGTAGTTTATGTTCCTAACAGAACCCTTTGTTGTGAGACTGTAGGTGCCATGGTGCTTCTAAAAATCATTTCATTTATCAGCCTCCTCTACAGGAACCTGATCAACACTCTGTCTACTTCTGAAACTAGGCTCAACATCTTTCTTCATGATGGCTTTGGTTATTACGAGCTGTGTCTGGGGTTCTGCTACTTTGGGCTCAGACTGAAGAAATGTACTTTTAGCATGGTTTTACTGCTCTACAGTAACACTTCTCTCTCTCCTGTTTATGTCTAGTGACTTTATTGAATGAAGACCTACAGACTAGAATAGAATAAAAAATCCCTTATTGTTCCAAAATGGGGAAATTCTGGCGTTACAGCAGCAAAAACATTATAGAAAAAATAGTCACACAAATGTGGACCTTAGAAAAGTCTATAAAATAGTGAAGAGGAGTTAAAAGATAAATAAAATACTTCACTGTAAAGTGTTTTAACAATATAAATACTGTTCACGTGGAGAATAAATAACCAATATCCAGCTATGGATATTTTTATAGTGATGGATATTTGAAAATAGCAGCAACATCAGAGATGTGCAAAAAGACAGCAGCAGGTTATTTCACTGACTAAAGTAGAAACTGTGCAAAATCAGCATGAAGACATTTTCACCGAATTTTGGTTTGTAAACACTGTTGATCCAGTTCTCGCATTTGGAGGTCAGTGAATATTCGGTTTTGCTCAGTTCTAAAATGGATACATTTCCAGATGGCTTCAATTTTTTTTTTAGTTTCAAAATTTTTTTCAGGGTCTTTATGTTGCAGGAACGTCAGTCTTATCCTGAACTTAATGGCATCTTAGCCTAATAATATCAGAATTTAACAATTTGACTCTCAGCAGGGATCTTCCAGATCCACATTTTTTTTTTTACCATTAAAGACTGAAATCTGAACATTGCAGAATTTGCTATCTGTGATGGAATCATTATATCGGTAATTAAGTTTGGGTCTGTCTATGCTGATTATACTTTTTAAATGTTCCTAATATTAAAAATGCCGTCTCTTTTTATGTAAACAGACTGGACTGAACAGAACAAATGTTTTGACTGTAACCATCATGGCATACCTCTCTGCTGTTGCCTGCAGTCTGCAGACAGTCGGTCCATGTCTGTTACGATGATCTTGTGTGTGAGACCAGGAGAGCAGGGCCGGTCTGGACTACAGGATAGCGCAGCGGCTATCATATGAGAGGGACACGGGGAGGGACACGGCGAAGGATGTGGGGAAGGATGAGGTGATGGCAATGGAGACGCTGCTTTAGAAGAAGAGGCAGACCTTGAAAAAACAGAAGACTTTTCATAGGAGCTAGATCTAGAAGAGAGTTTGACCGCCACCTCTGGTTTGACAGATATGGCGGAGTCCCGATGGTGCAGGAAGCCTGGACAGGTGTGGTGTCCTGAACTGGGTCGGTTGTAGTGGACAGCATGCTGAGCAAAGTGTGGATGGGTGTATTGCTCAGAGTCAGAGAGGTGAGGGTTGCTTAGGCAGGTATGATGGAGTGCGTTGAGAGATGTGTGATGTTTGGTAGCAGCACAGGTATGCTGGGCAGATGCTGACAGGGGCTGTTGGCAGGTGGGGAGGGATTTAAGTGACTTATGAAGGCTTTCTTGAAACGGGCGAGCGGAGCCAGGAAGGGGGACACTGGAACTGGGCTGCAGCAGCCTGGCGGAAGGCTTCTGGCTGAGGTCTTTCTCCCTGGTTACAATGCCCTGGGCCCGGATAGGTGCAGCTCTGAAGGATGGAGGAGAAGACTTCATTTCATCCTGTCAGTGAGAAAGGCAAATATTACAAACTGAAGAGTGCAATTTCCCCATTTGATTATCCTGTTTTCATACTGTTACAGTAGAAATGCTTTTGGTTTAGTGTTAAGGATATCAGGGTCAAGGTTGGGTGGAGGTTGGTTAAGAATCCAAATGCAGAGATGAGGGAGGCAGAGATGAGTTCTTGCTGAATTAATGGAGATGCAAAAAGGCAACAGAAACAAAATCCAAGAACAAAATACTGTCAGGAATCCAGTTTGCGTGGTTTGTTTTTGTGTTTCCTTTCCTCCTCCACCAGGTGGTGCCCCGTCCTCATTGGGTCTCCCTGCACACCTGCAGCTCATTGCCTCATTACCTGTGGAGTGTTCTTAAGCTGCTGACTGCCACTACCTCGACGCCAGAGTGTCTGCCAATACAGGGTACTTTAGCCATGCTTAGTTTAGCAGAGTCTAACCAGAGTTTTTGGATTCTCTAGTCAGGCTGAGTCTTTCTGAGTCAAACTGAGTTTTTTTGTCAACCTGAGTCTTAACTTTGTTTTTTGTCTTTGCCTCTCAGCAGGAAGTGCAAACTGGATTTGTTCGGTCCTTCTCTCTCTGGAAGGTTCAACTGAGCTTCTAACTGAGCTGGGGTCCCAAACAGGAAATTTGGACCCACTTTCCGCAAGAGGTCGTTTGAGCTTCACACCAAGCAAAGGTTTCATCAGCACTGCAGCCCATTCAAGTACCGCAGGAAATCAGAGTGGCAGTCAGCTTCTCCGTTCACTCCAAACAGGAAGTTTGGATCAACTTTCCCTAAGAGGTCATTTAAGCTTCACACCAAGCAAAGATTTCTTCAGCACTACAGCCCATTCAAGTACTGCAGGAAATATGAGTGGCAGAAAGCTTCTCCATTCACCAGGGAACAACCTCAGTCTGAGTAACCCAGTCCACCCATCACAAAACAAGACAATCTCTGGTACAATCCTCACAGTCTGGATTCCATAGAGAACACCTTTCCCTGGAGAAGTGAGTCTGCAACCTTTTCCTCCTATGCAAACCAAAGATTCAAATTTCCCACTGAGCCTTAACTAACCGCTGTGTCTTCCCCTCACCTTTCAGTCCCTGCTGAGCAGTGCTCAGAGCAGCACTGGATTCATCACATCATTACTAAATAATCCTGTTTAAACTTTTCCTTGGTCTCTCTGTTTGGTCTTCTGCATCTTGGGGTCAGACCTTAGATAAAAATCATGACAAATACAGGAAACCAAAAGCCAGGAGACACATGAGGAGCAAAGCGACGAGGAACCAGCACTGAGAAACTGCACAAGAGGAGTAGAAATGGGAGACTGAACAAAGTCTGGGCTAATAAGCTGACAAGGAGCAGGTGTGGATGGAAGCAAATAGAGGCTAGTGGAAAGGAGACTGGCACAATGTGGCAACAGAGAACAACACCAGAAAACAACTACAAAGACACAAAATTACAGTGAAACTAAAAACTTAAAAAGACATTTCAACAAAGGGCAGAAAACTTGACAATCAGATGGCCAGACCAAAGGAAATAAAATAAATAAATCTTATCTTTTTGATTTGGTGAAATGCATTTTCATATTTATGAATCTGAATCTTCTCTTTGTTGAAGAGACTAAATAAAAATAAGCGGGTAGTCAGTCAGATTTTAAAATATATCCTTGTGCTGTAATCTGCTAAGCAGTATCATCTGTGCCGCTGTGTCGTGTTTGATCCTGCCGCCCACTTGGCTTGCAGCGGTGCACATTCTTCATTACCGCAGATGGACCATGGCAACAGCGGCAGGGGAGAAAATAACCCGTCCGGTACTGCGCTCTGAACTCTGACAAATTGATCTTTCAGCTGTGCTTGTGAAGAAATGCGTCTTTTGCAGGTGCATAGCTGAGAGTCTGCGCTTCACGCTCCACACTGAAGGTTCGCTCTCAACAGTATGGCGTTTCCTGCTCTCGCTACTTAATAAACTATATTTGGCTGATCATTCTCTGCCAATCGTACCAAAAAGAATCCCTAAATTATATCCAAAGAAAATATTTTGTTTCTGGATAAAGAGCCAGGAGAAAAGATACATAGATCTTTGAATATTTCTTTCTCATTGTTCTCGTTTCTATCTATTTAAATATGATGTAAATGTTGCCTTGCATTGTTATAAAAATATTTTTAATGTTTCCTTTGAATATATCAACATTTTTGGTAGCATATTCATTCAATGATGAGGAACTGCAATGCAGCATTATATACCCAGTAATTGTGGTATCTAGGCAACAGCTGTCAGTCTGGTACATCAACTCAACTCAACTTTATTGTCAAATCTGCTACATGGTAAACATACAACACAGATAAAATTGCAGTCCTCTCAACCCCACAGTGCATAATAAAATATAATGAACCATAGCATAAAAAAAATTGAAATAAAAACCTAAGATATAAAAATAAATATAGGTATCTGCTCGGATAACTAAAAATCTAACAACGAACTAGTTTAAATACTAAAAAAGATTACAAATGTGCAGATGGGAAGTGTAACGGTAAATTTTTACCAAGTAAAATTACAGTGGTCCGTTTACATTGACTAGTGCAAATAGTCAATGTAAACGACGTAACTGTAACATGTACAGCAATTATTATTACTGCACAGTACAGTGGCTATAGTGCAAATAATGCAAATGGTAGCATTAGCTGTGTAGCAGCCATGATGTCTGCAGTGCAAACCGTGGTGCAAATGATGCATATGGCAGAGTAAACTCAGTAGCAGTTCAGATGTATGCAGTGCAAACAGTAGTGCGAATGGTGCAAATAGTGCTTAGAGTAGCAGTAAATAATCTGGTTGTTATTAGAAATTGTAAAGGTTAACTTTTTTTGCAACATAAAACAAACTAAATCCTTTTTAAGTTTTAGTCGACTAAAAATGACTAAAACTATTTCATATCGTTATGACTAAATGCGACTAAAGCTAATAATAGTTTTCGTCCTGAAGACTAAGACCAAGACTAAATCTAAGATAGCTGTAATATATAAGTACTGTTATCTCATTTTTATTAAAGGGGCTTTCTAAATACACTTGAGGTCTTTAAAATCCCCAAAATTAACTGACAAAAAACTGGGAAGAAAGGCTGAAGGCTGCGTTTATGGGAGATCTTAAAGACTCTAAGAAGGGATGTGATTAACGAGTCCTCTGTGGTCACCATGGAAATCCTCCACTAGTATGAAGGAAGACATGATGTGATTTTTCAAGTCAAAGTTTAAGAACCATTCTGTTTGGGAGACAAAAGAGCAGAGAATTGTGGGTTTCTGCTGCATCAAAGCATGTGGGCATGTTCACATTTCCAAATCTGACTTCTCACCTCCTCTAAAACATCATGACGTAATAACTTCAACATACAAGGTCAAACATCTACACATACGGTTAGTTCTAAATCACACATGCATCATATGATTTGCTTCCAACCAGATTTAAAGGCACTTTTGAAACCTACTATCAGCCTCTTTGGATTAAATTAGAATTTGACTCACCTGTGCCGCCTAGAATATCTAAACAGCCACGTCCCCCCGATACATCTGCTTTAAATTCCATGTCTATTCCTGTGTATATTTGCAGTTATCTCATGCTCTTCTTTTTGGTAGGATCTAATGGCTCCCTGTGAGATGTTTGAAACTTTGGATAATAATTCATAACCTAACCTTGGTTTACACATCTCTCCAACTTTCTCTAAGACCTCTTTGCTATGGACCCCGTGGTCATGATGCTGCTTTTTCACTACGGTCCTTTAGCTGAATAAAAGTACGTGACACCCAACAGATTTCACATGTATGGTGTTTTGAAAACTATAAATGTCACGAATGATGTTTGGTTTATTGTTTTTTGGTTGGCTGGTGGATTGTCTCTCCCTGCTCTGCTAATAAGAGTAACCAGATGCACCTGATTCTATCCCAATCACCCTTAATCCTCAAAGCTTTTTCTCTGCCTATCTATAAGTGCTTTCAGTTATTCCCTGCCAGAATGTCTCCTCTTTGTCCATACGGTGATCTCTCCATTTTCTATGTGCATTGCCAGCTTTCCTTCATCCCTGTGCTCAACATCCCTTCATTGGTCCTTAGCTCTAGGGTCAATGTAACCTGACTCCGCCAGATGGATTTGCTCCGCATATCCATCTGGAAACCTTCTGTTGAAGTAAATTTGGGAGGGGGCGAAAATACTGGTTAGCTGATTGGCCTATGTTGGTGATAGACGGGCCAAATAAACCAATCAGATCAACGAAGCATATGACGTACTAACAGAGCGACGATGAAGAGGAGCCAATTGATAGATCAAACTTTTGCCGAGACCAGTCGGGAGAAGAGCAAAAACATCTTTTCCTCTGAGAAAAGCCTCCACAGCAGTGCTTTGCTCTTCTTTCAGTGAAGAAATACTCTGTAATTCCGATAAAGCTTGCTCGATAGCCACGCTAACGCTAGTTTAATCGGCTGAAGCCGCCATGTTCTTTAGACTGAACTGTCGCGCTTCTCGTTGAGTCACACCTCAACCCGCCTCAAAGCCAACGCTGATTGGACGTTCGTTTGGTGAACGGCTCCAAATTTTCTTTAACAGAGAGTCTCCAGACTGATCTGTGAGTGAAACCTTGAAAGCTCGCGAGATCAGGATGGTCTCATGAGGCTAGGGTCAGTGTGCCCCATCTGTGTTCCTGAGATCCTGTGTTTGGTTTTCCCTCAATGGATTATCATGCACTTCTAACTCTGTTCACATTCCGGACTGTTTCTCCCTGTCTCCAGTTTGTCCTCCCATCATCTGGTTTGCTTAAGGTCTTCCTCTACATAGTTATTGCCTCTCCTCCGAGTTCTGCTCTCAGCCAGTTTAGCCAGTCACCAGTGGGTCCTGTCTTCACCTGCCTCCTCAAGCCTGCTACCGGTAAGTTCTGCCTGTCACCAAGTGTTTCAGTTGTCACCTACCAACTAAAGCTTGCTATCAGTCTCCTGCATTCATAAACATTCATTACAAACTCTTTCAAGAACCTTTTTTAAATGAACTCTGCATTTAGCTGAATCCAAAAGTCTTAGGTCTTCTAATCTCAATTTATTCCTTTCCAACACTTAATAAATATGCATTACTTTGTATTAATTTATTACATAATGCATCAACAGAAAACATATTCAGCTCTGATCTTTTGGTAACCTGCAAAGCAAAGCTAAAAAAAAGTGGGTTGAACAACCTCGTCTGAGCTTCAACCTGCTATTTTAATGCAGGTTTTATTTCTGAACGTTTTGGGCCAATAATATGGACACATTCAGAATTAGATGTAGTTCTTCTGGCATTATAGAGAAGAATATATATGTCCCATACCAGGGAAATGTTTCGGAAGGCGTTTGTGTTCTTCTCTTGGTTTTTCTCCACACAGCTGCTGCTGGAAGCCTCAGCCTGAAAGAAAGAACATGGATGAGTGGCATGTGGAAATGTGAAAAGAAGGCGTCTGCTTTTATTCAGACTCTTATAAGGGCAGCTGGGGCAGCCTGAGACTGCAGGAATGAGTCCTCCAGCAAACTGCTAAATATTGGAAAGCTAGGTCTAACTGGTCTAATGCCAGCAGTAACAGGTTTCAAAATGGGCTTCAGGGCCTGAACATGCTTCACACCAGGGAAGCCCAGGTGGTGTTTTAAACCGAGGAAGAATGTACCATTATCTACTTGCTGAAAAAACAATCTGCACCATTAAGGTTGATCCTTTTGTCATTTTGTCCATTTTTTTTATTTTTGCTGAGTGCAAAGTTTCAAATAGAAACCAGAATATAATATAGGGCAGAACTTAGTTTACTCAGAGCGTTCATCAGGCCCTGCTGCCAAAGAGGGTCTATCAACCAGACTGATGAGGCAGAATGAGGTCCTTGTGGATTGATGTGAACTAAAAGTGATCATCAATACAAAATACTGTAATAAGTGACGTGACCCAGAAAGCTGCACTCTGTCAACGGCTAAGACCAAGAAGCTAACAGTAAAGGAAAATGGAAATCATGGAGACAAAGTTCTTTTTGTTATTATAGAAACCACCAATGAATATCTGGATCTGATTTTGGCTTCAGTTTCCACTGTCACTTCTTACTTGTTAATGTAAAACATGATATCATGTCCTTTAATGGAACATTAAAGGTACAGAGGATGACGTTTTATTTCCGAGTGGATCATCTAAATAAGTGGTCCTAAGTGTCAATCATTCTGGTGATATGTTTACGTAAGGCCGTCCTACGTGCTCGCCCCGTTAGCTATCTTTTTCTGCGCATGCTCACTTTCAAGCGTATATCTGTGGTGAGCTCCGGTTTCAGACAGTTATTGAAGCTCACCTTTCTCACCCCGGTTCTTTGAAAATGGCTAGCAGATTGTCTTTAAGAGAAAAAGTGTCCAAGAAGTGTGTGAAAAGAGAAGAAAGGCCTCAGAAGAGGCAGAGCAGGGGGAACTATCCTCCCAAAGCATTATGGAATTTCCTGTCACAGCGGCCCACTGTCGCCATAGGCTGTCACTACCCGACAGTGACAACTAATAACAAAGATGGTGCAGGCTCCGCATGGTGGAGGAGGAGTTACGTGACCAATGGGGAGTAACAGGCAGTGATCATCTTAAGTCCACTATATAGTCCCCACTCTATATAGTGATTGAGGGATCAAAGGGGTAGGGCGGACGTTCGGGCAGAACTATGACAGCAGCAACTTTTAAACAAAGTGTGCATGAGGAAAAATGGGCTCGTGCATGCTCTTGCACGGTTAAATAGGCGTGCAATAAAGCAATAGATACAAGGTTGTGCATGTGCATTTTTTTGTGGAGAGGGTGGGTCTTTTCAAAAAATTGCAAAAATCCTCCCCTAAACCGATATTTTTACATTTTCTTTTTTAAAGTAATTTCAATAAAGAGAAGATTAATCTTTTCATAACATGAGGACCCAAATTTGGGTCCTCAGCACCCGCCCCAAGATGGTTTTTAGACCTGTAACATATTCTCTGGGGTCTTGCCTTTATTTTGATACCAAAACAATTAAAATGAACTCTGTAGTTCTTGAGATATATTCAATTCATTTTGGGCATGTTATTTTCAAGCATATTTCTCGAAAGGAGGCCTAGTGTCCAAGAGGTTAAACAAAAATCACATTCTACAAGTTTTGCTTATCACCTTTGACATAGAAAAAAATGAATTTTAAATTTCACTTTTTGTATTTTCAAACCAAAATCAAGCAGCTGCTGTATCATTTGTTCATTCAGGCTTTTTCAAATTGAAACAATGAAAAAATAAAAAACTGTTGTGTCAAAAAACAGAAAGCTGTTCCTTATTTCACATTGATATAGTCATTTAAATATTAAAACAAGGGATAATCTTTGTTTTTGCTCTGATCACAGCACAAACAGGACAGGTTATCCCTCATCCAGATATCAAAATTTTTTTTTTTTTTTCCCTTTTTGCAGGGCAGCTGCAGCACCATTCTGAACCTCTGGAGCGTCTCTGCTCTACGCTTTTGCCCTCCAGTGTTCAAAATGATTCTCCTTTTTGATAAATTACACTTTACCTATAGTTGGTTGCTTATTTTTTTACAGTTTTTCACTACAATTGTTGCTCTGATTTCTTAATTATTATATATATATTTCTGCTAAACCTTTAAAGCTGCTATTGAATCTTCTTTAGTAGAGCACTATAGTGATTCCTTTTTATTTTACTTGCAGATTGTGTCTCATAAAACGTGTTTTACCTCACAGCACTAAAACATTAAAAAAAAGGAAGAGAACTTACTGCTGGACGGTTGGTTTGTCCTGCATCATGCAGGGCAGGACCTGTATGGTCACAGTGGCCTGGTGGATGTAGCACTCTGTGGCCTCCTTGCCAGGCTTGATGAGCCTCTCTTTGACGGTGCAACACTAGGTTGTCGTACACCTCCAGATCCTGAGGAGCTACTAAACTCCTGACTTCAGACAGCATGGACAGCTGTGGATAAAAATAGAAAGTGAGAACAGAAAATCAAATAAGGGCATGTTGATAGAAAGCATGGTGAACAACTACAGTCATGTACAAACTCCTGTACCTTTGCATGGGTGTTGAAGAGCTCAGACAGAGCCATGGTCAGTGGTTCCACATGAATGTGTCCTTGCTGATACTCCAGCAGATAGTAGGCCATGGTCTGCCTCTCCTGTTCTGTCAATAGCATGTAGGCCTGTTGCTCCAGAGACACCTGAGCACCAGGTGGGCTAACCCCTCTGTACCCTGCAGGCTGATAAAAAAGATTGTTTTGGCATAAAATATAATACAAACTAAGACCCAAAGAAGAAAAAAATTATACTGAGAGTTTGGAAAGCAGATTTAGGCATTTATTTACAAAGGGTTTTGATATAAAAGTGGCAAATTTGAGCTAATTTACAAACTGGTTGTTTGGATAATTGCCTGTCTATTGAGCATGGTAGCAGGTGGACTCTATTTAGAGAGATTGCTTTTATAGATTTACGGAACATGGTTGAAATTTCTAAAAGGAGGATATGCAGATGTAATTATTCACCAACAGCAATATGAATGATCAAACCTGAGAGAAGTTGAAAATGCCTATATTCAACTATTATGGGCTTCACTGGGTTTGCAGTGTTATGGATTCAGGGGTTGGAAATGGATGGATGGATGGATGGATGGATGGATGGATGGATGGATGGATGGATGGATGGATGGATGGATGGATGGATGGATGGATGGATGATGGATAAATGGTAGGGGTGTAAATAACATGGGCGTAGGTTTGCATAGGGACCATAGGGACATGTCCCTACCAACATTTTGAACCGACCTAATTGTCCCTACCAATAATTGGATGTGAGCAACATGTTTATAATTTAGAGCAGTAGTTGTTCCAGCAGTGGCTTCTTTTCCTCTCGCAGCTCCTCTGCCTGGTCTCTCCTGTCTCTTTCACCTAGCAGCGCGTGGAACTGTGCTGCGCTGTTTAACTCCACTCTCATTGGTTGTTCTGCCTTAGGTTCCGCCTTCTCTCTCTCTGATTGGCTGTTTTCTAGTCCGAGTGTGCTTGGAGCACAAAATTGAAAATGTATTCACACTAGAATGCCGCGGTTACTACAGTTAATATTAGGCTACAAAACTAGTCCCGATAAAAAAAATTAATATCATGTACACTAAAAACAAAAACCTTTTTTTTATTTTATAAAACGAAATATTCTGAGTCAGCCAGGAGTTCTGAAGACTGCTGGAAAAATGGATAAATAAAGGCTGTAAGCCATAAACATTTCTGATTCTTAGCCACAGCCGACTGAAAAAGAAAATGTGAGGGTTTCCTTCACATTTCAGCTATAATTATTATATAAGTTCAGCTATAATTATTAGCGGGTGTTATTTCTCTTATAGAGGATAACAACAAGAAATGGGGCCTAAACATCTGCTGTTTATCGTTTAAAAGCATAATTAGGGTTCCACATAATAATAGTTCTATTTTATTGACTATTTCTACTTCTAGAAATAGGATAAAGACAAGAACAAACAGAGGCAGAATGTTAACATTGATTTTATCTTAAATAGATTTCCACACAGTCTATAAGTAAATTACTATAAACATTAATGTCTGGTAAAAATGCTTGAACCTGGCTGTTTATTTTGGATATTATTAAATTACAGATAAGATAGTGTTATATTGTCATTTATAATTGTTAATAGTGATTTTATATTTTAATACACTTAGGCTCATGCTCAGTGTTGTGTTTGTAGATGATGCCACTAAAACAGAAAATAGACATAAGGAGCTATTTAAACAGTCAGACAATAGCAATATAGGACGATGATAAAAGGTTGTGTTACATTTAATCCTTTACTATAAAAAACGCACTTATACATTATATGATTATAGGAAACACAGATATGCAGTAATAAAGATCCAGGGCAGCTTGTAGGTGAAGCAGCTGCCCTTCAGTGCTTCAGGTGATGTCTAAATAAACCAGGTGATACTAAAATATTTCCTCATCAGGAGTTCTGGATGGGGAATACTGACAGACAAAAATATTTTTTTAAATCTTATATATATATATATATATATAAAATCTTATATATATATATATTGTATTTTTACAATTTTGGTATAATTACTGATCTAAGTGGGTTGCTCAGTCGGAGAAAGGCACATTTTACATTTATATTATGTTTTAGAGTCTCTATTCTCCAGTTAATGATGAATCACTTACTAAATTAGTTGACGATTATTGAAATAATCAATTAATACGATTCATTTGTTCAGCTCCAGATAAAATACATGAAATGGGCTACACAGAGTAACTAAAGCCCAGATGTTCAACTTTTATAGTGAAGTTAATATTTTATTGAATGTATTATTTTGCTTAATACAGAGAGAGCATAGTAGGTAAAAAGAGTGGGGTTTAACTCTGCACAATTCTATATCTTTAAAAGAAAATACTGTATTTACCTTATCTCTTAGTCGTTCAAATGAAACCATTTTCAAAGTGGAAAACAGTCCTAATTCCACATTCTTCAGAGCCGCTGATACTTCAAACATTGATAAACAGCATCTAGTGAGTGAAGTGCTTATACAATTTTATTAATGTAGCAAAATGATGCTTTTCTCTTTAAACAATGAATTCCTCTCATCAGTACTGATGCTCATGTCAAACATAAAAAAGGGCATGCGTATTTCATAGCACCAATGACACCCAACCAATAGTGTCCCTACCAAAGTTCAAATCAAACCTACGCCCTTGGTAAATAATAATCGTTTTGTATCGATGCATCGATCCGACAGCCGACAATCTGATGCATCAACACGTCCGCATGAGTATTCATGTGCTCTTTTATCCATTTGCTCCTGTACATTATTTCTGACTCCAATGCTTTGGTGGCGCTAACCTATTTTGCCCTCCTACCTCGCTACCACTACCATCTTTGTTGCACACCTGTTGTTGCAAACAGTAGGCAAGACAGACATGGCGGAGGAAAAAGCTGACTTACACATCCCTTGCGGGTTCAAGTTATTTATGTGGAAGTATTTTGGGGTGTATTCTTGAGTATCGAAAATAATCGAACCGTCAGGAAGTTGATACTTAACCGAATCGCCATGATGGGTGTGATTTACACCACTAATGGATGGATGGGTGGATGGATGGATGGATGGATGGATGGATGGATGGATGGATGGATGGATGGATGGATGGATGGATGGATGTTGGATGGCAAACTGCTGTTTTGCTGCAGTAAAACCTGACATTTCAAATGTCATAATAACCTCACAAAGGCCTTTTATTCTGACATTTATAATGTCAGAATAAAAGGCCATTAAAGAGAAAGCCTGTTTCTCCACTCAAGGTTAATGAATGCATATTGGAAGGCAGGGATGTTTAGTGCTGCCTGAGAATGAGGAACAACAGACAGAGCAATAAGAGGAATGAAAAGCATCTTGACTTTCCAGACTAATCAACCTAAATTCTATAAGAGTTTGGAAATTAATTTTCCTACGTATCTGGCACTGTAGCGTCACAGGACTGGCTTAATGTGTGCTGGTGTGAACATTTTATAGAGGTTTAAGCTGTTTGCTTTAACCTCAAACAACAATTAAATACTGCAGTCCTTGATAACATGAAAGTCATGCAGATTAAAAATAAAAACAAACCATCAGCCCCTTCAGCAGAGAACTGTGTTGTTATGGAGAGCAGCTAATGCTGACTCCTCAGAGCATTGGGAAACTGGAGACATGACCCATTTTACCCTATTAAAAGAGAATCATCTATCTCCACCTGAGTCCAGACCAATGTCAGCAGATGTTTTCTTCCTTTCTGTTTTTTTATATCCTCTCCGCAGATGTTTGCAAAAGCACATTCACACTTTGATTAAAAAAATGAATAAAAGTTTCTTGAATTAAGTGTATTTACACTTAATTTTTGTAGGTAAATATGATGATTTGGCAATGGAATGAGTATTTTTAACTCTAAAGATAATCTATATGTCTTGAAATAAGAAAATGCTATTGTTGTTTTCTTATTTTAAATGTAAGTTGTATGTGTTCCACTAACAAAGTATCTCATTTAGCTGCTCAATTCAAGAAAAATGCACTTATTTTAAGAAAAACGACTTAAGATTTAAATTTTTGCAGTTTGAAGTCAACACTGCACAGAGAGCTCAGTTAGAAAGGAACTTTCTCACCTTCCCAAATACAGGTGTAGCTCTGGCAGAAGATGGTCTGCAAGAGGAAGAAACGTCACATGAAATTATAGCTATAGTGCTAGTAGAACAACACTGTCAACAGCTTTAAAGATGGAGTATAATCAGGCTTGAAGCTGAAACATAACTTGCATTATTCTCAACTTAGGTAACATTAGAAATGTAAAACAATCTGTATCTCCATATTTGGGCAGAAACTGAGGCAGAGAGGGATTTGGGACCAGCAGGTGTGGTGGTTTGGAGCTCTAGAGGCATCTGGTGGAACATTTGGGTAAACATCTTTTTCAGCTGGCTTTATCCGAACTTTCTATGTAAGTAAAGATTTAATTGAACAGTTCCTAACTGCAAGGTCCATAGAATAGAAGAGAATAGAATAAAAGGATTCTTTCAAAACTGAAAAAAAAAGATTTCCTAGAAATTCTATATAGTAATAAAGCTATACATTCATGAAAAGATGTAAATTTAGTATGTTTGTGATACAGTATATCAAACTATGCTTAAGATTTGATGGTTTGGAAGAACAGCAGCAGAGTATGCTGGTGAAGATCAGTCATCCAGGTCATAGTCATTCTAAAAAATCTTAAAAAATAATTCACTGGACTTTCTTTCCAAGTTTGAAGATCTTTTTCTTCCCATCCAGGAAGCTTTTTCAATTCAAAACATCACAAAGCCTGTAATACCCAATAACTGTCTATATCTCTGAAGGGGGGGGTCGTTAGGGGTATAGTTGGCCTGACTAAAAAGGCGAGGTCTTCTGTTCCCCAGTATGGGTGTGGGGGTTGTCATGATAGCGGGAAAGAATCAACTCTATTGCTGAATTGTAGGTTTTTGAAAGCTGAAATCTGAGTCCACCCCCTCTGTTTAATGTTGTTTTTTTTTTCTTTCTTATAGCAGCACAGCAAACATCTGATTGGTTTGTTAGGAGCAATGATGGCTGTCAGTCTGAGAGCTGCTGAAGGAAGCATCCAATTTATCTCTTGTGTGTCTCCTGCGCAGCAGTCTTTCACTGAAGGAGGTCTTCAGCATTAACAGCATCACACATGGAGGGGGGATTCATTGTACAACAGAGAAGGTATTTTAGCGAGAGTCTTCTGTTGGCTGCCACCTGCATCAGTTGAGAAGCCATCAAGAAAGAGATGACCTTCCTCAGATTATAGTAGCTTTTTTTTTTTTAAGCTGTGGATAAGAAGCTGCTCCAACAAACTACATGTATATTATAAGTGGTCCTCAGTAGTGCCTCCTACACTCTCGCCAGTTTTATATTAAAAATAAATATCTCATATTTTTTTTCTTGCACCATTTTTTATTTTATCTGTAAATGAACAGTTTTTCTTCTTATCTTCATCACTTTTTTTTCTGGACATGCAAATTTTTTATGACCTAGTATTTTTATTTTATTTTATTTTATAATTGTATGTGAACCTGGATACTTTATTGCCTTCCTGTTTTTCCACTGAAACACTTGAATCTTCCCTACCTGATAGAGTATTCTATTCTATTCTATTCTATTCTATTCTATTATACTATATTATATAATATAATGGACAAAATAAAAAAGATGAAGAAACAGGAACCTCGTCCTTAAGAAGACTAGAAATAGAAACAACAAACACTAAAGTATTTTGTCATAATGCCAAGGTGCATGATTAGATCCGTCGAGGTGAGATTTCTGTTCCACTAGAGAAGCACGGTGATGACGCCATTATGCTGAAGGTCAGTTCAGCTATCAGAACTGGTGCAATACACAGCGTGGCTGGAATAATGAACAGTTCCAACACTGTATTTGTCTCTAGATGCTGCTCAAGTGGAGCAACTGTAGATTATCATGGACAGGGATGTCACCATTAATTAATACCGCCACCTATTAAAGGAAAATAAAGTTTGCTGGTAATAGAACAGCCTCCAAAGGTCAGCAAAGTTCTGTATCTGTGCATCATGTGGGCCTGGGTCAGAGTTTGGGGACTGATGATTCCTGTGGACAATCAAGTCAATCTAAATTTATTTTTTCCCACTTTATTTATTTGCAGATTTGATGTTTTGAACCAATATTATTAGGGTACAGTATTTGGACTATTTGGCATCAGTGAAACCAACCAAATCTATTGGATCTGACCCAGTTTGTAATGGTTTAGAAGAAGGAACCAATGAGCACATTTCAGGAATCATTCAGAATTGTTTTTGTTGTTGTGAATTTGCTTTTAGCCACTTCCAGTCTTAATCCAATCTAATTTAGATGCATACTTCACACATAGTGATTAAAATAAAAGCACTTAATTCTCTAAGTTTAGCCAAAATATGCTCCTTGTTTGTGTTTGATATAACGTCAGTTTAGTGGACTCGCCTTGTAGTGTGGCCACTGGCAGCATTGCCTGAATGAACCCCAGCACCAACGCTGGGATTTGAGGCAGAGTTTATGGCAGCCGTTGCATTGGTCTCAGCTATGATCTGACCGCAGCTCCATCTGCTCCCGTCTACAACGATGCGTGCATGAGGCAGACGGCCCACATCCCGCACTTTCAGCAGCAGCTGGTGCCCCGACTTGAGGATGTTCACTGCCTCATCATGGGAGATGGTGACAAAGCTCTGACCGTTCACCTCCAGGATTTGGTCTCCCACCTGCAACAAGCAATAGACTATCTTCATCATCATTGTGTTAAAGTATGCAGACACAGAAATTAGGTTCACAATGAAACATTCAGTTTAAAGAACTAAATCCAATGAGGTCTGATCATGGTTGCCCAAATGGTCCAGGCAACGTTCTCCACCAAAACTTTTACAATAAACAAATCCTACTACCAGCCTTTAAAATTTTCTTTATCCTTCAGGTCATCTTCAATGTTCTTCAGGTCTAAAATGTTCAGATATAGTTAACAAAATATCAATGCAGCCAAACCTCTGCTTTTCTTTCTATCTGAAATAAGTTGATTTGCTCGACTTCTTTGATGCCACAGCAGATCTACACCAAGCTGCAAACTCCATACAGAGAAGAGAGGTTTTAAGGAAGCCTGGGATTTGTTGAAAACATACCTTTGTCACAGTTAAAGTCAAAAGCTTTTTTAAAAGTCCTCCTTCAGAGGAGCAATAATGCTGCCCACTGAAGGAACCCCTCTGGAGTTGAATAAATATCAAAGTCTGAGAGCTGGTAACTGGGAATGAATTTCTCAGTGCATTGCCAGCAGAACAAGACATTACTATGAATAATAATCAGCTCTTAAATGTCTGTTAGCCTGTATATGTCAACCTGATGATATGGCAGAGCAGACTCAAGCTTTGAACCATCAACCAATAGAGTGCTTAGAATAAAGATGAAAAACCACTTTGGAAAATACAGAAAATGTATTATTGAAAGAAAAAATAATCCCTGGATTTAAACTTAATAGGCACAATTAAATAATACTATTGAGTGCATTAGACATGTGATTGTATTTTTTAGGTATATTCTGTAAGTTGTTTTTTTTGCATGAATACTGAAGGTGATGTTAAATTTGAAGTTCCATCTGCATCGTTAGGGAATGTTTTATATCAGTCCTGGAGTACAGTGACATTTCATACAGCTGTGCCTCCACAGGGTTAGGGCTCATAAACCAACACTCATGGGATTGTAGCAGTCCAGATGGAAACACACACACACACACACACACATGCACGATATGTCACACTATCCCTGTGAGGAAACTTTCCAGTCTTCCATTGATTTCTATGACCTAACCCAAATCCTATCCATTCCCAACACATACCAAACCTTAAACCTAACCTAAACTCAATGCACAGAGCAGTCCTAAACCTAAACCTGTCATGATCTGGCCTGTTTGCTCTCCCTTAATTAGTAATTCCTCTCACCTGCTGTTTTCCCTCCCTGCCTCAATCATAATTTATTCCTCTCACCTGTTTCCTCTGGTTTATATTCAGTTCAGCCTGAGCATTCAGTGCCAGAGCATTTCTTGTCTTTCTGTCAGTTTTTCTGTTCAGTTTTATTTTATTTGGTTCATGTCCTGGATCCTAGCTGCCAGTGGAAAGAGGGTTTTAGTGTTTGTCTCGTCTCCTGATCGTCCACTGTTCCTCCCCCACAGAGTCCTCCTGGTTTTGGCTCATTATGTGGGGAGGTTCAGTTTTTATCCAGTAAGCCTGGCTCCAGGGAGGAGACCATTTTAGTCCTGCTTCAAGTTCCGGTTCCGACGTCCTGTCTCGGCTACCCTCTTCCACTGAGCCTGCCTGTCTGCACCTGATACTCTCTGCTCCTGTGCGTGACCACCTGGTCATGCTTCTGGTCCCAGTCAGACTCTGAACCCTCCTGGGAGCCTGTGGATGCCTGGAAGTCTGGATCCTGCCACCTGTCTCTGTTCCTGCCTGATCTGGATCCTGCCTGTTCTGTCTGTTCCTGTCTGTTCTGGATCCCTGACCAGGATCAGCCTCCAGCATGACCTCTGGGACTGCAGCACTGGGGACATTCGTGCTCTGGACTGTTAAACCAAGTAAGTGACCAACACAGATAATCTTCTATCAGTTGATCGTGGTCACTTACCTGTGTTTCTCCCCTAGGGTGTTTGAGATTGGGCGGTGCCCCGCCCCCCCCGCCTGCAGTGTCCGCGAGCCACAGCTCTGCTGTTGTTTTGTTTTATTTAATAAACATTTGAACTATCCTACTGACTGTCTCTCCTTGAATACTGGGTCCATCTGTCCTCGGTTCATGACAAAACCCCATTCCAAGAGCAGATAAATATATATATATATACTTTCCATTGACTTCCATTCAATCGCAGCGATAGCTATAGCCTTACCCCGGCCCTTATCCTAAACCTAACCTATATAGGTACATACTTAACCATTGCAAAATTTCAATTTGTGCCTTAGTCCCAAACTTAACACTCAGTCCTCATGATGTAGCATTTTAACAGCCATCTTTGATTATGTTTTTTTTTTCAATAATAAAAGAACAATAAAGCAAATAAGAGTTTTGTAAAGGGAAAGCGATTAACTGGCTATGAAATAGATATGAAACAGAAAAACAATGTTTTTCAAACAATATGAAAAAATAAAAGATTCTTTATTATAGCATATTCCAGAAAGAAAATTAATAATACAGATATAAGGGAGTGACATGTGGGCAGTCAGTGTTGAGATTATGTTATGTAAGAAGCTCCTTCAATTTAGAGATGCTTTTAACTGAGCTATATAAAGCCTTTGTTTCAGCACATAATGAACAAGTTAGAGGAACATTTGGCCTTTTCAGAAATCGCTTTTCTTTAGGAACGCTGTCATTAAATCAGTGGCTCTGAGCCATCATCTCACCTCTCAGTCTGTTTGAAGCATGCTGAACACCTGTCCAAATTACAGCTCATCAGCCAGTAAGCGTCATCCCTGCAGTAAAAGTCTCCCCCCAATGCAAAGAAGGCCCTTAAGAAATGTTGCTCTTATTCATTGACTTTTGATTAATCACTGCATTAGATTGCGAGTAACAGAACGGTGTTACCAGTATTTGAGAAGTAATAAGTTAGATTACTTTTCCAATAAAAAGTAACTAGATTACTATATCCATTTCTTTGTACCAATACATACCTAACTCTAAGTTACTTTAACTCAATTCGCAACCTATTCCTTGACCTAACCATCAGTCGAAGGGAAGAACCTTTCCTCATTACACATATTTATATGTCCCCACAATGTAGCATATTCCTGGGGAATTGGACACTCAGTGGCAACCGGCCAATAGAGGGCCGCCCCACTCACCCAATGACCTTAACCCTGTAATGCCAAATGTATCATATTTGATACATACGGTTTCTGAAATGTTTTGCGTCTGACAACTTTTGCATAATTTTAATGGTAAAAACTTTGCTCAAAATCCTATTGTACACAATCAGATATACCTCATAACAGAGGGCAGAAGACTACACAAAAAATAATCTTGACTTATCGCATAGTAATAAATTATTAATATAAAAAATGTATTTCTGTTTTTTCTTTTTACATATTTTGTTAAAAGGCCAAATAAGGACTTCAAACCAAAAAAAAAGTAATTTTCTGTTTTGTTTTATTCTTGGATCGGGCTTTAAAGGGTTAAGACATAAAAAACAAATAAAAATTAAATTATAAAATTTTAATATTTCAAAATATATAAATATTTTTTTTTAAAGATAAATCTTTAATCTTTAATGATGAGTAAAGCTGTTTCATTGGTTGTCGGATGGGTGAGATATTTGCGCCCTGCAGCGGAAAAATCTTTGCCCATAGAATCTGATTAAAAGTTGACCATGCAAAGTAGCTCCTCTTTAATGCTACTGATAGGACCATCCTGGGGCGCAGCACTCCTGCGCCCAGAGCTGAAAGCAACTTTATTTGCACACCACGTCCTGCCCAAGCGCTGGCGTCACAGTCATCTGTTATAAAGTGCGGCTGATTGACAGGTTTATAGAATTATTTAGCAACAAGGCTTGACTTACTGCATGCAGTGAGGCTAATGCTTTATTCTGCTTTCCCTGCCTCCTTTTTCAAATGTCAGGATCTGACCCATCATGGATTAAAATAGGTAGGACAGATTTAAAGCACTTTTCAGAATATTTTACAATGTTATTTTGTTGTTGTTGGAATTAATGTAAATATACTGGTGTGATACCTACATATTAGGGGTGGAACGGTTCACAAAATCCACGGTTCGGTTCGATTCACGGTTTCGTGGTCACGGTTTTCGGTTCGGTTCGGTATATGTTGATTGTTACACCGAAATCCCATAAAAATTTATGAAATTAATGAAAAAATCCCCCAAAAAATAATTTTGTAATTATAATTATTTTAAATGATCCGCGGAAACCCTGGATCATTTCCGTATGTTTTTCTGCTTTGAATTTAATCATCTCGCGCATGCTCTCTACCATCTCCAAGGGACTCAGAAGGGAGCGGACAGGAGCCACAGTGGAGGCTGTATGCAGCCGGTCTGGAGCGCAGCGGGGGTTGCTGACGGAGTATGAGGGATTTCGGGGTTAGCATGACATGTTGGTCATGTTGCTGTTAGCATAAACAAAACGTGTTGCACAATGCTTGCACACTGTTGCACTTTTATCCACAACTTTCTTTCCGCCGTCATCGTAGGTCACTCTAAATGCAAAGTGGTCCCATACAGCAGACCTATAAAGTGCTGCTGGCGCGTCTTCCAACTCCTGTTCTTTCCCACTCGCCATTCCGACACAATTCTCCACAACAACTGATTTTTTTCCCCTGCTACACCCGGCTAAGCTGCTTCGCTTCTTCTTCTTCTTCTTGTTTACTACTGGTGGTTGGCTTTGGTCGCAGTACCGCCACCTTCTGCTCTGGAGTGTAAACGCTTTGCCTATGAGAAAAAGGAGCAGCGCATGAACCGAGCGAAACACATGCGAACCGAACCGAGACAGTCGAACCGAACGGTTCGGACGGTTTTCATAAACCGTCCCATCCCTACTACATATACGTTTGATTGGTTTATTTTAAACCTCCTGGAGAAAACTCCACCAGCCGCCACTGCTTACACTGTCTCCACAAGGTAGCAAATGGCCACACGCACATTGTCTGTGCACTGCAAAGAAGCGATTTACTGTTTTGTTGCTTTTCATCAAAATAACAAATCTGTGCTCAATAAAAAACATAAAGAGATCATCAACCTACTAAGTTACACCATGTTATTGGAAAAAGGCCACCTCCAGACAGCTGGACTTTTACATGCTAAGTTCTTCACTCACTGTGAAAGTGCTTTAAACAATGCAGTCCCTGATTACAGTTTTTCATCTTTGTAATTACAGTCTGTCATCAGCTTCTTTTTGTGAGGTCAGAAAAGAACCTCTAATTGAATGGATTTGGAGGAGATTTATATCCCTTCCTAATGGATATGGCTGAGTGTTTCACTCTATTAAAGTAATGAATGACCAACCCCAGCTTTCACTATGTTACATGAGTATAAATAAGAACTAGACATTTCAGTTTGGTCTATGCATATAGAGCTGTGATGATGGATCAGTTAATTTCCCAGAAATTCTGAGTCTAGTGATATTTACCAATAGCAAATGTCAAAATAAAAAAGTATTTGAGGTCACAGTGTGACTCTTATCAATTGTCAAACAATCTTCTCTTCAACTTTTTCCCCCAATAAAACCCAGAAATGTCACCATGTTTTCCTCACAGAATATCAACTGTAGTTGTTCAGTTTTCTAAGTGCTCCAGTTAGTCTGAAATATCCCAAGTACTAGCTGACATGCTGTTTCTTTTTTCCCTCCATGTAGGACACAGTGTGATATCATGATGAAAGAAATATTGTTTACAGGTAGTACGGCTGCTTCTGTTTCTCTTGCCTTAGGCGGGACAGAAAATAGCACAGTGAGAGTGGCCTGCTTGTTGAGGCAGAAGTTGACCTGAGAGCACACAGTATATCATTTAACCCGGGTTAGCATTCATGTTATCTGTTTTAGTATGACTGTCAGACAAGTTCCAGATGTTAAGCTCCACCAGGGTAAGTAACTTCATGTTAATGAGTGTAAGAAAGTTTGCAGATGTTATCAGTGACATCAGGCAGAGACAGAAATCTTCTTTTATTACATCCAAAACACCAGCTGCTGCCTTACAGCAAGACAGTCCTGGGTTCTAATCCCAGCAGAGTTGGACCCTTGGGGTTTGGGTGTATTCCCCATGAATGCATAGTTCACTGTCTGCCTAGAGGCTACAATAAAGCAAATTGGCGTTTAGAAAAACTAAACCATCGTTTTTTGATGTGTGCCTCTGTGCTGGACCTGTGCCACCTGATCGGACCTTCTCCCTCTTTCAACCTCTGCTGTTTTGGTTAAATAAGGAAAGCCAACTTTATTCTAAATGTACTTAAAGGGGAATGCCTTTTTTTTTTACATTGGTCCTTTGATTTTACGTTATTACATCATTTTCTACTCACCCATATAAGTTTTGTGTCATTTGGAGCCATTCTGAAGATATTCCGTTAGGTTATATCCAAGTAACGTCTTCCTATGGGCAACGACTTCAAGGCACAAACTAAACTGTTCATCATTTATTCTTTATGGTATGCCAGGATTCATATGTGAGTGTATGACGTCATCCGCGCATGCGAACTGGAGTCGTTAGAGGCAGCCCGGGCGACAGGCGGCTACGCTCTACCCCTTCTATTCATTCTAGCTAATCTGAATCGTTCAGTTCCATTTGGAGAGCGAGATCATCTGTGGTAGCAGCACTAGACATCTTCCAGGCATGTGAGTAAAACTAGCAGCAGTTCAGCGGACAGGATGAATGAATGGTAGCCGGCGCACGGATGACGTCATTCACACTCCGCTTTGTTTAAAAAAAATATAAATATATAAAATATAACCGCGGATGTCTGAGGAAAGTGATTCGCCTACATGTTATGAATGCTGGCGTACCATAAATGATAAATTATGAACAGTTTAGTTTGTGACTTCAAGTTGTTGCCCATAGGAAGACGTTACTTGGATATAACCTAATGGAATATCTTCAGAACGGCTCCAAATGACACAAAACTCATATAGGTGAGTAGAACATGATACAATAACGTAAAATCAAGGGACCAATGTAAAAAAACCGACGTTCCCCTTTAAAAATGAAACTTGCCTTCTTTATCTAACCCAACCCTTAGTAATACCACAGAGATCAATCTGCTCTAATCGCCAGGCCACCTTCCCCAAAATGAAGTAACTTGCCACAACCTATCAGGTTGAATGGAATTTGGTTTTACAACTTTCCTGGCTGAATGGGTTACAGCTGCATGACTCTCTGAGCTGGGATGAACAAATGCATGCACAGGGAAGATGTGAACACTCTGTATAGAAATACTGTGGACTGGGGTTCAAGCAAGGACCTTACCTTGCAGGTTTACAGTTCTAAACAGAACTGATATCGGAACAGATATCCTCTTAGACAAATCTACCAATGTAAGATGTTTCTCTGAGATACACTAAGACTTTAGTAAAAGTTACTGTTTTGCATCAGATTACTGCAAATCTCTACGACCCTTCAAAAAAATTACATTTCCTTTGTATTTGATCTCTAAAAATATGTTATATATTGGGTATAAAATGAGTAAACTGTACCTTGAGTTCACCAGCATGTGCAGCAGATCCAGGGTCCACTCCTGTGATGTAGATTCCCAGTCCGTACTCAGCCCCTCCTCGTATCATCAGACCCAGAGAACGACCATCGTCCATGTTAAGGTTGACCTGAGGTGAAGATATCAGCCTTCTCAGTGCTGTCCATAGATTAACCAGCTAACTAATAATCAGTGTGAGGCAGTTTTTGATGTGGGACAATTTTAGAGTTTATTTCTCCCATGAACAGGGAATGATTAGTTTTGACAAAAATGTTAAATTGAACAAGTTAAAGGACCAAATAATAAATTATAAACATTGCTGTATTTCTCAATATTTCCCTTTCAGTGCTATTTTAAATCACAAGAAGTCTACTAGGGCAGCTACAGAGGGAAGTATAGCATCATCCCTCTGAAATATTAACTATCAAGTTATTCATTCAGGCTAAGCAGTAATGGCTAAAAGGGGAGCCAAAAGTGTGATTATCTTCATAAAATATTTTATCTCAGACACAAAATGAACTTTAAGAGGGTGCATATGTAGCCATGTAAAGCTAAAATATATAATTCATTCATTAAGATATGGCTGAACTGTTAAAGTACTCCAATGTTATTTATGAAGCCAGCCCTTCAGCCAACTCTTAGCTGAGGAAGCTATGAAGCTCATCGTCCTCATGTTCAGACTGCACGCGGTTGACTTAGTGATTTCTGTGAGAATCTGTCCAGATTTTGTTGTCCTCCATTACCCTAACAGTCCCAGGGTGCAGACCAGGAAGCAGAGTCTCTATGGATACCCACTCATTACTCCATCCAGACATGACCAAAATCAAAATAATCAAAAAAAGAAAATCAGGATTATCTAATTAAGATTAAAATGACTTCAATTAAGAGAAATGTGAAAACATTTAAATGTGGTTTATTTAATATAAGATTTATCTCTTTCAAATGGTTATTTAATGACTTAATCTGTGATAAGCAAATTAATCTATACTGTCTTAAAGAAACCTGGCTGCAAAAAGAGGCCTATGTTAGCATATATGAGGCAACTCCCTTAATTCTATCTACCCAGCAATGTTTGGTGAGGAGTAGCAACAACCTAGAAATGCTATTGTCTTGAATGCTATGTTAAACTTGATTGGTTTTGTTCAAAATGTTCACTGTCCCATGCATTCTGATCTTCATACTTTGGACCTTTTGCCGACATATGGCATTGACTGTGAAGAAATAACTATATTTCCTCACAACCATGTCCTATCTGACCACTTTTCAGTTCACAACCACTTTAACAGAGTTATCCTCCCCAAAAGAAGTTTTCACTTCAGCTGATTATTGTCAGAAAATACATTAAGAGTTTCAAAGAATCCATTCCAATTGTTATCACCTCTGTATCACTGAACAATAATGCTGAGGGAAACCATTTGATCTATTCTCTTTCACAAATTAATGATTTTCTTGATGGAGTCACCAGCTTTCTGCATAGACAATGTAGACCCATTAAGAAAAAGGAAAGGTAATAATAGGAGACTGGCTTCTTGGTTTGATACAGAGCTGTGTACTTTGAAGCTAAATAATAGGAAACTGGAAAGGAAATGGTGCTCTGCATGCCTACTGGAATCCTATCATATCTACCAAAACAGTCTACTGCTGTATAAAATGACCCTTTGTAGAACTAGAACATATTTCTATCCATTAATAGAGGAGAATGGGAATAATCCAGATTTCTTTTTAATACAGTTGCCAAACTCACAAAATCAAAAGTTCTGCTGAACCGTCAGATTGATTCTATAAAGGGAGTTCTTAAAGGGATTTTTTCCCTTTCTTTTAATAGGTCTATGCATGCATGCTCGTAGGGATCACTAAAGAGTCAATAGCAAAATGCAACTAAATTGGTCGCCTTAAAGGAATAGTACACCCAAAACATGATTAGCCTTCATTTTCTACTCACCCCCATGCTGAACAACACTCTGGAGTACTTTTTTGATATCTCAAATGCATCTGGAGATCTGGGAGGCTTCTTGCAGTCTGCTGACATTCAAATAATGGAGGTCTATAGCGCCCAAGGCAGAAAGGTCCATAAAAGTCCACAAAAAACGTGTCAATATTCCTCCATACTGCTTGTCCAATGTATTCCAAGTGTCCTGAGTGGGTAGCATCCATAATTTACTCGAAACGAAGTCATTTAGAATGTTTTTAGAGGATAAACAGTAGTGTATAGGATTTCCTGAAAGCGCGCGCCTGCGCGTTCACGACGCTACGGAAGCCGCGGCAGACCAAACCAGATGAAAGTGCGCATTCAGCGTCTGCTCTGCCGATAATGCAAGCGTAGAAGAAGAAATGTGCTGTTTACCTGTGCAAAGAAAGAAACAACGAAAGAAAAATGTCTGAGGACTTCAGTGTTGAGGAAGAGCATGAGTTCTTTGCCGAGCTGAATGCGCACTTTCATCTGGTTTGGTCTGACGCGGTTTCCGTAGCGTCGTGAACTCGCAGGCGCGCGCTTTCAGGAAATCCTATACACTACTGTTTATCCTCTAAAAACATTCTAAATGACTTCATTTCGAGTAAATTATGGACACTACCCACTCAGGACACTTGGAATACATTGGACGAGCAGTATGGAGGAATATTGACACGTTTTTTGTGGACTTTTATGGACCTTTCTGCCTTGGGCACCATAGACCTCCATTATTTGAATGTCAGCAGACAGCAAGAAGCCTCCCAGATCTCCAGATGCATTTGAGATATCAAAAAAGTACTCCAGAGTGTTGTTCAGCATGGGGGTGAGTATTAAATGAATGCTAATCATGTTTTGGGTGTACTATTCCTTTAAGCTCTTCAAGGGGGAGCATGTCTTGCATGTCAATGAATTAATGCAATCAACCGATTTTCTTCACAAAAACTTTCAACCAATCTGACTGTAATGTCTCTGAAAAGCACCATTAGATTACACGTGTTTGGAACTGGCGATATTTAAAATAATGAATTTAACTGAAGTACATGCCCAACAAGTTTTGAGATCTCTTTATAAAGTTATGAAAAACTGTATTTCGATAAGGGTTTAAATATTAATATGACATTAATGTTTATGTGTTTTGTAATTTGCTCATTACATTTGATTGCTAAATCAGGAACGAAGAGTCCTTTAAAACAAGTTCCCTCTTGTCTACGAGCCATTAGGTCCTTTGTCTAACATAATTAAATACAGCAAAATAAGCACATCCAACCAACCACCCATCACCTTGAGTGCCCTCTAGTGTAATCAAACATTTATCTCCTGCTATTTTGAACCCATTGTTATTCCCTTAAGCATGATTACATGGTATTAGGAATCAGTTACTTAAATGGTTATTAGATTCTGATAAGACAAATATGTATTTGTATTTTAAACACTGATTTGCCAAAATAATATTAATTATCTACCTCTTAGATTTGCATTGGTGAATTGGTTTTAACACACAGCAATACCTCTACATTAGTGCAAAAGTTAATTTGACCTAGTATGTTGATTCTGAAAAAAATGCTGTCATTTCATTGCTTTATTCTATTGGTAATGGCTTTCAACCATCTTAATTAGCCTTTTTTATTCATTTAGTTGAGTTTTACTAGCACAGTTAACATTTTTAACTGAAATATGTTTAACCTGGAGTTGAATTAATTGAGTTAATATTTTATTATATTTTGAATGGAAGTAGTTGTGAATTTATTCCATATCTGTGCAAATAGAAAATTAACTTTTTCCATCCCTATCTAGTCCTCAGGAGTAGATCTTAGTAAAGATCTGTGGGATGACCTAAAGCAGAGAACCAGGATTTTTTACACATAAAATAAAGATCTGTAATAAGTGAATATAAAACTGACATAAATTCTAAAATAAAAATGCTGCTTTCATCACAGAGTCAAAGAAATTTGACTCTTTGACCTCTTCTTTAAATGACTCATCCAGCCTTCCATGTTCTATGGAGCTCATGTTTTCATTATTTTAACCATCCACAGATGATACCGGGAGGCAAACTTGGTATATCTTCTTCCACTTAGAGAAAAAAACTTGATAATGGTCATATCACAGCATCAGACAGTAAAATGGTTTCTACCCTGAGTGAAACATTAACAGCATGATAGAGAGATTTTAATCTGGCCCAGGAACAGTTGTTGTGTTGTTCAGATGAGTCAGTTTACATGAATGTAAAGATTCACACAAACTGGGATGAGAGCCAAAGGCCTGTGGAGCATGAATAAATCTGTCTTCAAATGTCACAGCGTCAAAGGTCATCTTAACTGTCCTCAGAGGGTCAGAAGCCTAAATGGTGATCAGCAAGCTGCTGTTTCATGAGTGGGGGGACAAACCCAGTATGATTAAACAAAATAATATTTGAAACTAGTCTTCAATGTTTGTTTTCTTAAAAAAAAAAGCTGTCTCTGCAGTAATACATAACTCCATGATCTGCTGAAGCATAAACTATGGATCATCATTTAGATATTGGTCTTACCGTCCTGTCCTCCATGCCATGTCCTTGCCTTGGGTGGGCCTCCAGGCTATCAGGTGGTGGAGACACACTCCGGCCCTGAGGGTCCACCCAGCTGTACACTTGGTTGGTCATGTACCCTCCTGGGATGCCCCCCATTGAACACACTGACATGGTCAACTTCTTGCATCCCTTCAGCACCTGTATCAGATGACACCAGGGAGTTTTAAGGTACTGCGACAGTAACAATGCAGCATTTGACAAATATCCATTTGATGTGTTCTTTAACTGATCAAACACTAAAAAAAGAAAGTGTTTACATATAGATATGCTGAGCTAGTTAGTCTGGAGCCCTGGATCACAAAAAGTAGAGCAACGAGGAACCCACAGTATCAGTCACTTTCTTTTGAAAAAGCACAATAGAGAAGCCATTTATTTTTGGTATTATGAAAACGTATGTTTTTTCTGTCCCTCAACAGTCATCATTGTCTCTCCTTGCTCTGGTGGTAAATTAAAAGAATTACCAGGACAATGCCCTATTATTGCTGTATCATTATCTGATAGTCAATATAATACTAAATATATATAAATAATATCCTTATCTGTATAGATAGTTTTTGCTTAAATTTTTTTTTTCTTTTTAATACCAAAATATATTAATATTAAATGAATTACAATATGCATTCAAAATTATAGCCTTTAAGCAGGTATTAAACATACATTCCTTTACAGAGCATTGTTTAATCCAGGGATCGGCAACCCGTGGCTCCAGAGACGCATGCGGCTCTTTAGAGCCACCCTTACGGCTCCCTGGAGCTTTTTCAAAAATTTATGAAAAATTTATTTTTTTGGATTGTTTATTGTAATGTGGTGTGCAGGAGGTCAAACAGACATTCATTATGTTTTTCAGTGCTGCAAACATTTGTATAATAACTAATTGAAACAATATATGTAAACATTTATTTAAACAAAAATATGCGTCATAGCCATAGAGATCAGTGGTCAAAGCCTGCAGCACATGTCTCAGCGAGGCGCGGTGCCAGGCATAGAAAGCGGCGGGTGTGTCTTGGGCCATGGATCCCAAAGGGAAAAAAAGGAAGATAGCTGATGAGAACATAGGATTCAAAGAAGAATGGACCAAATAATTTGCTTTCATTTTCAATGCGGAAGGATTACCTGCATTTTTGCTTTAAGACATGGATTGCATCTCCCAACTCCACTACTGCTGCTAGTTTTGTTTCAAGCATGAAAAAAATGTCCACAGATCAAACAGGTAGCACTCTGATGCAGGTATGCGAATTTTTCTCAATTTTCCCCCCCAAAATCCTCAAAATAAAAATATAACCATTTCTCTGTACTTGTGACACTGTAATAACAATAAAAGCTGTGAAAAAAATATGGCAAAGGAGGGTCATGGTTAGACTACAGCCTTAATTATTTAGTTGCTGGTGAAGATTTTCAGTCATCAAGGTCACAGTCATTCCAGGAAGGTAAAAAAAAAAAAAAAAAAAAAAAACAATCCATTGGACTTGTTTCCAAGATAGAAGACGTGTTGGGTCTTTGTGTTTTGTTTACTTACAGGGGGGCAGGCTTGTTCCAGCTGTTACTCCTTGATGGCAATCAGTGGGGGCCTTTATATTGGAGCAGTTTCCTGGAGCAAGCTGCCAGTTTGTTCCGCTCTCTCAGTGGTAAAACAGGTAAATGTTAGTGATCTAAGCTCCCAGAGTCTCCTCTAACCTCTCCTTGCTCTCGTCTTCCACAGAACCAGACCGAACACTCACCAGGATCAGGTCAGTTTCCTTCATCTCCTCGCTGTTCTGGAACTCTCACTCTGGTGACTCCTTACAGGACCAATCAGCCTGCCTGTCCACCCTCAGTCCAACACAAGACCATCCTCCGGAAAAGGATCCAAACTCAGTGTCTCTTTCCCCCTTTTGCTGTCTAAGTTGACTGAGCTCTTTTCCATTAAACCAGGAAATAAACCGTTAAATCTGCCTCTGTGTCTGCAGTTGTCACTTGCTTAAGAGTCTGGTTAAGCACCATGTCAAGACGTTTCACTTCCCATCCAGTACATTTTTTCATTCAAAATGGATAAATTGAATTGAACTAACTTTAACTTTATTTATTAATTTGTTTCCAAAACTTTTGTAGCTTATTTGGGATCTTTATCGAAAACAACCAGTATTAATCAGTTTACAGCACACAGAAGGGTTTTGGGTAATAAACAAAAATTGTCATAAAAAGAAAAAAAAAAGATTTCAGAGTATTTTTTTTTAATCAAATATACTTTGCAAGATAAGTGCTCAAATTTCACACATTATAGAAACTAAAACCACTGATTGGTAATATTATTATTTTATGTTTTCAATTTAAAAGTAAAAATGTATTTGCCTTGATAGACATTATTATAAAGCCACGATGTTGCTAGGAGCAAAACACCCACATGAGTTCAAGCTGGTTTGTCATTCTCCTCAGGGCACAGCTCTCTGCCCCTTTGACCAATTCCTGCTTTTTGTCTCATTCTTTATCCAACCAGATAAACTCATGATGCTGTCAATCAAAGTCACCCCTGGCAGTTTAGGGATACAGCTACTAAAGAGGCAAACAGTAGTATGTCACTTAACAAGCAGAAGAAAAACAGGCCCTAGGTTTAATGGTTGAAAATTATAAATTACTTTATGAAATTAGCAGCGTGTAATAAGCATATGAATGAAATTATAAACTGTTTAGTGTGACAGAGGAGAGCACAGATTGGCCCTCAGATTGTGCGGCAGTTAAAACTTGCAAAAGCCTGTTTTCCAATGCTAAACAAAGCATGTTGTTGGATATTCTTATTTATGAACCACTTCTTGCTGAATAATTTCCAATAAAGTATAATATGAGGTGTTGAACAGGTAAATATCAGCTACATTTACTTCAGTCTAGAACATCTTTGTCTACCCCTAAACACACCTGGTCAGATTGTTTTTCTGTTTTATGTAAAAGTTTAATACCAAACCGCTCTGAGGAATGCAGTCATGTTTATCTCTTGTGAACTCACTTCATATTAAACTTTTGTAAATGAATCAGTCCATGTTTTCTTCCTCTTATGATCTATAATGACTTTATGCTCCATTTAGTTTAGTTTTTTTATACTACAAAAAACGTTTTGCCTTTTGCTGTCGTGCCATTTTGTTGTCTCATTAAAGTAGAGAAGAATTAGCAGAGGCTTGGAGGCAACAGTGCTGACTATGACTGGGACTCAACCAGCAGTAAAGCAAGGACACCAGGAAAGCAGGAGACAGATGGCCAGAACCTGACCTCATTTAGAAGCTATCCCTCTCCAACATTCAGTTTTGAGTCAAACTTTAATTTAATGACCTTTCAGTCAATCATGACCCTAAGAATCACCTCAAATGTAAAACCTGCTTAAAGGTATCAATTCACAATTTTGTACTGTTACTTCTCATCATCCGCTTTATCTGGAACAAGGTCACGAGGATAGAACTCTGAGCAAAGACTTGCCTTTTGTCAGATATCTTTTCTAGCTTCTCCAGACCCAAGCAATAAATATTGTCTCTTCATCTTGTCTCTGGCCTTTTCCTGGGCCTCCTTCTGGTGCACAGAACACCTACAGAAGGATTTCCCATCTAGCCCTTGGCTGCATCTAGAAGTCCTTACAATGAGGGTTATAAACAGAACCAGTTATAGTGGCAGCCTTGTTGAGTCAAACATGACGCGGGAACAGATCCGTCCATGCCGGCAATGCAACAAAACTCTTGCTACATTTGTACAGACCAGATGACCCCTCATAATGGTCCATTGACTCCATATTCTATCTTCAGGGTACCACGAGGGACATCTAGTCAAATGCCTACTCCAGGTCCAAAGCAAGCATGGACCCGTTTATATCTCCCATGAATCTTCGCGCAGGAGAACAACACCACTGCTCCTGCTGAGGCTGAGATTTAACACAGCGACTGTGCCCTCCAGGACATTGGCATAAGCCTTCCTGGGGAGGCTGAGGAGTGTGATGCCTCTGTAGTTGGAACACACCACTCTAGTCTGCTAGTCCACGTACGGTCACTGTCAATGACCGGCACCAAATGTCAACAAGGCGTATAAACCATAGCATTACAGCAACATTCAAAGGGACTTTTGTGGGACTTTTAGACCAACTCAGCGGCTTAAGTCTGGGCGATGAATGAGTGTATCTCTAAGTCCTGGCGTGAAACCATGGTTAAGAAAATTCTCAAAGCATTCCTTCCACCACGGAAGGCATGCTTTGCTTATATGAATGGCAAACTCATGGTATAAACAAGGATTTTAGTTTCTGGTTCCATCACATACAGCAAAATAAAGTATACCCATAGTATACAATGCATTCAGCTTGTATATAGCAGATGTTTTTTATATCTGTTATTAAAAAACAAAAGGTTAGTATGGGCTTAACAGGAAGGCTGGTTTCCCCATTGTCACATCTCTCAGTGGGCAGCAGGTACACCTACCGTTTTATTTTAATGTATATTTCTGTGAAGCTGCAAAAACACACCTACTTTTCTTCAATACTGCGCAAAGTCGTTTTGGCAGTGGGATGTCAAGGGTTTCTTCTCTTTTTTTCAGTTCCGCTTGCTATGTTGATTATTGCACCAAAAGTGGTTTTTGTGAGTACTGCATCTACATCCACCTCAACTATAAACAGGTACAGCACTCCTATGCGCTTGCACACGGTGTGGCGCAGCAACCCAACTCGCGAGTATATCTCGGCCATTCTGCAAGCATTTGTTTTAGGTCAGTCCGTGTAGTCGCAATTAACATTTTCACAGGCGGCATGACCAAGATGACTTAATTCAATTCAGTTTTTTTATATAAAATAAGCATCTCACTGAAGGTGCAACTTTAGGGATGCGAAAAAATGGAGGAAGTAATTTGTTTGAGAACCCAAGCAGGAGCAAAACAGTTGTGCCTTTAAAATGAAACAATGTGCATATGTCCTCAGGGTAAGCTTTTTTAGGTTTTATTTTAAACTGAATTGAGTGAAAAAGCTATTATCAAAACACAGTTGTTGTTTTTTTCAACAACTCATAAAATGTTAAAAGTATCTCAATGAAACTCTGGACAATCTCATACCCTGACGTATAATGTTCCAGGTGAATGGAGCGGTGTATGAGAACACCTTTTAGGTAAGATCTGTTCTTTCTGATGGGACTTTATTCCTGCTA